CTCTGGACTTTAACTTTTCAAACGCGACGTCAGCAGCAAATTTACACCAAGACTTCATGCAGTCTATGGCACCAAACCTGACGGCTATTATTGATAACAATTATAAAGTGTTGTTATTTACGGGAAACTTTGATATGACTGCCGGTGTTGACTCTATCAGTGGTTTCCTCGAAAATAAAGGTATGTATTAGTTATAATGGTGAACACAATTTTTATCAAATAGTCTAATACTTATGTATTTTAATGGTATTGTATGTTTGAAATGAATACACAGATTGGAAATACTATAAAGACTACAGTTTAGGAAAGCGTGTCATTTGGAAAGTATTGCCAAATGACACACAAATAGCCGGTTATGCAAAGGGTTTCAACAACTTTACACACGTTATCGTCCGAAATGCCGGACATTGCACACAATGTGATCAGCCCAGGGCTACATTAGATATGATCACCAGATTTGTTCATAATAAACCTTTTGAATAATGACAGTATACTCTGTACTAAACGATAATAAGTTTCTAGTTTCTAATATTTATTCAAAGAAATAATTTATATAATTATAATTCATGTAAATTCAAAAAAAAGTTATTTCAAATAATGATTTTAAAAAATTTTGTTTTAACTTAATTTAATTATATTAAATTTACTAAAAGTAAAATGTTGCTTATTTTGGTAATGTTTGTACCGGTATGCAGCCTAAAATAATCAGTATTCATTTATTAATTCAAAACAATTATTATGAATGAATTTAACAGAAGTTTATAAGTTTTTGAATTAAGATTTTTAATTTAATTTTATACACATTTGAAAATAATTCATTTGATTGTAACCTAATCTAACATTCTTTGTACTAAAATACTGTGTTTTGAAATCACATATTTTTCATGAGAGTTATCATTTATAACTTATAAAAGTCAAATAAAACAAATATTACAAAAATAAACTCGCTCATTAAAGAATTGTTGAAATTAAATTTAAATCCCACACAAACTGAACTACATTTCACTTTTCACTTCACTTTCTAAACGAATAAATTTGTGAATATTTTTTGCTATAAATCTAAATCCCAATCCACTCACCAATAGATATGTGTTTGTATTTAATGATACTTTCACTACCAGTGCTGGTATTGACGGCATCACAGAATCCATTGTGTGATCCAAAGCTTACCATCGATTCTGCATTTGTTGACAAATACTCGGATTCTGGAGAAGATGTCATCACTTTGTTCGCCGACACAACTGTCCATCAATTGACAGTCAGTTCCCATGAAAACAAACCTTCATTTCGATACAAACAATCAAAACCATTGAATGAGTGGTCAAAAGGAGATCCCATTAGGAGTCCAGTGAATGTCATTCTGTATACAAGTGACGGAAAATACCTTTCATTACAAAATGTATAACTATTTTGAAACTTACGTTAAAATCACTAATACTTTACACAATTATAACTCCAATTACACACAAACAGCGCAAACATTTAGTGCAATGGAAAGTATGGTCTCATAACAAAACTGTTGTCAATTCACAACCAATTCAAACAAATCCCACAAAAACTACAATATATTTTGAGGACATCACCGCCGGATCCGTTCACTTGAGATACAGTTTGTCTCCAAGAAATACCACACATTTTCGGATCAACTTCAAGGATATGATCAAAGATCCCAAACTTAATACCATTAAAACCGTTGCATTCAAAGTGCATAACATTAACGATATATTGGATTACTTGAGACAAACGACCGCTGGTTTCCTATACTCGCAGTACTTCTACTTAATGGCCGGCAATAGGATCTGTTGGATCAATAAGACCACAGAAGTCTGGAGCGATGAATGTCTGCCACAAACTATCACCAAATGTATTTGCCATCAGTTGCGCGGGTATTGTCTATTGGTTTGTAATCACGTATTACTTGAAACACAAATACCTGGAGATCTCGCGTAAGATAGCATTGAGTGTTAAATACGATAACAAACGGCTATTAATGGCGGCTATCGTTGAACACAACTATTGGGAAATACAGACCAATAAATTGAATAAAAATTTTAAATACATTATATTCATCATATATTACATGGGCACCGTAGGTATGCAATTATATGTGTTTATGATACATAAACCGGACACTGACCTACCACTCCGAGTATTGGCCATAATATTTGTTATAATGGAGTTGACTATATTTTTGTCTGTAAACCTTATGAGCACCTGGGTCATAAAAGCTGCTCATAAGCCGATGTCATTAATATCGTCATACCTGTCCATAAAAAGTATTAGCCTTTCTCTAAGATATCGACAAAAATTGCAATCATTTTATGAACGCCTGTCCACTGGACCGGCAATCGGTTACTATTGCTATGATTTGTTTGCTATGAATAGCTATGAATTGTATCAATACTTATACATCGCGGGCAGTAATTATTTCCTAATAATAACATTATTTTAATTAGCATGATACATTATTGTATGATACAATCATATTAAAATATGTTTTAATTGTATATCTATTTGTATTTATTGTCAAAGAATAAATATTTATTTAATTTCGACTTTTTATGAAAGGTAAAGGTTATTGTGTCTAATTATTAAATACTTTGTCTAGTATAATAATCTCGTATTTGTTTTGAATTCAATATTAAATATTTCGCAACTGAAACAAAATTAATAAACTATTGCAAACATTTATCATTAAAATTATCACTTAAAAAGTATATTTCTATTTTCTTAATTATCATGGGAAGAATTTTGAAAATATTCAAATTATTACTCATATAAAATAATAACTTTATATTTTAGTTTCATTTTTTATATTAAACAATTCATAATTTCCAATTTATATTTTTCATCCATTCTCGGGAAATCTAAATATACTAAAATAAACTCTATGTTATTAATTGGAAAAACTCAAACAAATATAAAGGTTATTCTTATCCAGTATGATTAGATATTGTATAAAGATTCAAAACATAATTGATAACTTTATAACGACTAGTTATATGATTTTATTTGAGATACAATAATTAACCTTTTTGAGTTTGTTTATATAAGGTTATTCTTATCCAGTATGATTAGATATTGTATAAAGATTCAAAACATAATTGATAACTTTATAACGACTAGAATACGATTTATATAAACATTAGTATATAAGAAACTATTCAGACTATTATATAATAAAAATAAAATTCTTACGAAAATTGTACAATAATTATATATTGAAAATAAACATGTTATTTATATATCCAATATTACAAGTTTTATTTTTGCTGTCCTTAAAAGGATTAACAGTAAAATGTGATCCTTTAATACTGACCCCTTATATAAGAAAACATGAAATAAGCGAGGCAAAAAGTCTAAGTCGTGTCACTGGTCTACCAAATGCGCCGACATTTGAAAGTTACTCCGGATTTCTGACGGTTGACGACCGGTTCAACAGTAATATGTTTTTCTGGTTCTTCCCATCGTTTGTAAGTTCACACAAATATTAGTGACAAATAAATTAATGAATTATTTTGAAAATATCAGACAAATCCCAAAACCTCTCCCGTAGTCGTATGGCTGGAAGGAGGACCCGGAATATCATCGTTATTCTCATTGTTCACATTTGGACCGTTAGTTGTGGACCAGAAGCTAAATGTGACGACAACTCCCTCTTCATGGGCTCAGGAGGTGTCCATTCTATACATTGACAACCCGGTGGGAACGGGATATAGTTTTACTGACAATGCAAAGGGCTATTCAACAAATGAAAACATGATTGCTGATAATTTGTATGAAGCTTTAAAACAGTTTTATACAGTGTTTGCCGAATACCGAGGGAATGGTGTTTATATTACGGGTCAATCGTATGGAGGACACTACGTACCGGCGCTCGGATATAAAGTAATGCAACATTCAAACGATTCAAACTTTGATTTTAAAGGGATAGCCATCGGGAACGGTTGGATCGATCCAATCAATCAAATAAATTTCGCTAATATTTTCAAAAGCATGGGTTTAGTGGACGAGTTAGAGGCCATAGAAGTTAGGGAACGGGAGGAAAGTATTAGGACTGCCATTAGAAATAAGGACTATTTAAAGGCGCTGCAACTCGATTCAGATTTAAGTATACAATTTAGTACCATGCTAAAATTAATTATATTTTTTCACTTCTTAATTAAACACTAATTTTCTAATTATCATATGAAACAGTGGTAGCAGGTCCGCCGTATGCCACTAATGTAACTGGATACTTACAATTCTATAGCGTATATGAGTCAGGTCAACTATACGAATCAGCCATCAATTTTATTAAGTACCTATCCCTCAACCAAACCCGTAGTGCCATACATGTCGGTGCTCTGGACTTTAACTTTTCAAACGCGACGTCAGCAGCAAATTTACACCAAGACTTCATGCAGTCTATGGCACCAAACCTGACGGCTATTATTGATAACAATTATAAAGTGTTGTTATTTACGGGAAATCTCTGGACTTTAACTTTTCAAACGCGACGTCAGCAGCAAATTTACACCAAGACTTCATGCAGTCTATGGCACCAAACCTGACGGCTATTATTGATAACAATTATAAAGTGTTGTTATTTACGGGAAATTTTGATATGACTGCCGGTGTTGACTCTATCAGTGGTTTTCTCGAAAATAAAGGTATGTATCAGTTATAATGGTGAACACCATTTTTATCAAGTAGTCTAATACTTATGTATTTTAATGGTATTGTATGTTTGAAATGAATACACAGATTGGAAATACTATAAGGACTACAGTTTAGGAAAGCGTGTCATTTGGAAAGTATCGCCAAATGACACACAAATAGCCGGTTATGCAAAGGGTTTCAACAACTTTACACACGTTATCGTCCGAAATGCTGGACATTGCACACAATGTGATCAGCCCAGGGCTACATTAGATATGATCACCAGATTTGTTCATAATAAACCTTTTGAATAATGACAGTATACTCTGTACTAAACGATAATAAGTTTCTACTATTTATTCAAAGAAATAATTTATATAATTACAATTCATGTAAATTAAAAAAAAGTTATTTCAAATAATGATTTTAAAAACTTTGTTTTAACTTAATTGAAATTATGTTAAATTTACTAAAAGTAAAATGTTGCTTATGGTAATGTTTGTACCAGTATGCAATAAAATGTTAAATCAATAAAATCATTCATTCATTGAATATATTGTTGAAAATAAATCCAAATCACAGTTAACTTTATTTTCACTTTCCAAACGGTTATATTTGGTGTCAATTTTATCGCTATACATCTTAATCCCAATCTACTCACCAATGGATATGAGTTTACAATTAATGATACTTTCATTACAAGTGTTGGTATTGACGGCATCACAGAATCCATTGTGTGGTCCAAAGCTTACCATCGATTCTGCATTTGTTGACAAATACTCGGATTCTGGAGAAGATGTCATCACTTTGTTCGCCGACACAACAGTCCATCAATTGACAGTCAGTTCCCACGAAAACAGACCTACATTTCGATACAAACAATCAAAACCACTGAATGAGTGGTCAAAAGGAGATCCCATTAGGAGTCCAGTGAATGTCATTCTGTATACAAGTGATGGAAAATACCTTTCATTACAAAATGTATAACTATTTTGAAACTTACGTTAAAATCACTAATACTTTACACAATTATAACTCTAATTACACACAAATAGCGCAAACATTTAGTGCAATGGAAAGTATGGTCTCATAACAAAACTGTTGTCAATTCACAACCAATTCAAACAAATCCAACAAAAACTACAATATATTTTGAGGACATCACCGCCGGATCCGTTCACTTGAGATACAGTTTGTCTCCAAGAAATGCCACACATTTTCGGATCAACTTCAAGGATATGATCAAAGATCCCAAACTTAATACCATTAAAACGGTTGCATTCAAAGTGCATAACATTAACGATATATTGGATTACTTGAGACAAACGACCGCTGGTTTCCTATACTCGCAGTACTTCTACTTAATGGCCGGCAATAGGATCTGTTGGATCAATAAGACCACAGAAGTCTGGAGCGATGAATGTCTGCCACAAACTATCACCAAATGTAATGATTTAACTGATTAGTTTAATTTTTAATAAATTATTTATAAATTTAATTGAACATGGCGACATGCGAACAATTGTGAACAAAAGGGGGGAGGGGATTAAGATTTCCCAAAAAATGCGAACGTAATATGTGAATCACCCCTTAACGCAAATCGCATACCAATGCAATTGCGAGGGCCGGCGCCAAAGGGCAGGTATGTGTAGGGCACCAGTTTATGTCTGTTTTCCGGCATAAACCTATCAGGATCAAACTTTTCTGGATAGGGATAAAATTCTGGCGAATGATGTATAAAATGATGCATAAATATGACATATTGTTTTATGATAAACTTATACGAAATTATAGTAAACTTATACGAAATGATTATGTCTATCATAATAACATGTATAGCTTGTAAGCAATATTGGGAAAAAATTAAAGCATTTGTGCGAGCTTCAATTTGTTTTGCTTTCTCAAATATAGTATTGTAACTTGCTAGTTAGTGCACGAATAAGTTATAAGAAATTAGTCCACTATTTAAGTTTTTAATTTAAGTTTAAAATAAAGTTAAATCTATGACTTACATTAAATATTTGAATAAATATATCAATTGTGTTTCATTGAAATATTTGTTGTTATTTTAATTAATAAATTTATTTCTGAACTAAACCTTGAAAATGATTAATAATTTATTTGTGATCAAATATTTGATTTACAAATTGGATCATTATTTTCAATAACAATATTTCATGTGACTATAAAATTTTTATTTCAATATATTTTGTAAAAACAATATTCCATAAAATATAGTATTATTTTGTTTCTCATAAATTATATTAAAACTATTTATACTGTATTTTTAAATACAGTATATACTGGTACAATTTAATACAATGAATTATGAGATAACACGTTTGGAGGCATTCATGAGCCGTACATATTGTATGACATATCGCGATACCGATGATTACGTGTCTGCACGTACGCCAAGTAAATGGCGCTTAATCTGGATTATAATTACCAGGGTATCAGTATTAATAACAACAGTTAGATTCCTGGCCATGGCACTGATATCCAACCCAAATTATGATCTGATAAATGAACTAAAACTCGTACAAGTTTAATTTAGTGATAAAATGTGGCGTTGACGGCATTACAGTAAAAGTCGTAAACGCGAACCATGTTATTACAGGATAGTTCTTGAATTAGTAGAATGGTATATTTACCCCTTTCTGAACAAGCTCAAATATAATTTATTTATGTGGAAACTTCGAAACATTCGGAAATTACAAAGATTAATTTATTTGTTACGATTAGCAAATAATTATTTCATCATGCAAATGTTTATTATAATCATGATAGCGTGGAATGGAATACATGCTATTCACTTATATAAAGTGTTCATGTTAACTCCAACTAATATAAAACTAATGATCATGCTCGTTTTGGACATCAATATCATAGTCAGCATTGAATATGCATTTGCCATCAGTTGCGCGGGTATTGTCTATTGGTTTGTAATCACGTATTACTTGAAACACAAATACCTGGAGATCTCGCGTAAGATAGCATTGAGTGTTAAATACGATAACAAACGGCTATTAATGACGGCTATCGTTGAACACAACTATTGGGAAATACAGACCAATAAATTGAATAAAAATTTTAAATACGTTATATTCATAATATATTTCATGGGCACCGTAGGTATGCAATTATATGTGTTTATGATACATAAACCGGACACTGACCTACCACTTCGAGTATTGGCCATAATATTTGTTATAATGGAGTTGACTATATTTTTATCTGTAAACCTTATGAGCACCTGGGTCATAAAACCTGCTCATAAGCCGATGTCGTTAATATCGTCATACCTGTCCATAAAAAGTATTAGCCTTTCTTCAAGATATCGACAAAAATTGCAATCATTTTATGAACGCCTGTCCACTGGACCGGCAATCGGTTACTATTGCTATGATTTGTTTCCTATGAATAGCTATGAATTGTATCAATACTTATACATCGCGGGCAGTAATTATTTCCTAATAATAACATTATTTTAATTAGCATGATACATTATTGTATGATACAATCATATTAAAATATGTTTTAATTGTATATCTATTTGTATTTATTATCAAAGAATAAATATTTATTTAATTTCGACTTTTTATGCAAAGTAAAGGCTATTGTGTCTAATTATTAAATACTTTGTCTAGTATAATAATCTCGTATTTGTTTTCAATTACAATATTAAATATTTCGCAACTGAAACAAAATTAAGATAATAATTGTATAATAAACTATTGCATACATTTATCATTAAAATGATCACTTAAAAAGTATATTTCTATTTTCTTAGTTATCATTGAAAGAATTTTGAAAATATTCAAATAATTACTCATATAAAATAATAACTTTATTAAAATCAAAGTAAAAAATATAATTTGTTAAGTATTAAAGGTTAAATATAAAAAGTAGGTAAGAGCCCTTTAGATTTATATGATTTTATTTGAGATACAATAATTAACCTTTTTGAGTTTGTTTATATAAGGTTATTCTTATCCAGTATGATTAGATATTGTATAAAGATTCAAAACATAATTGATAACTTTATAACGACTAGTATACGATTTATATAAACATTAGTATATAAGAAACTATTCAGACTATTATATAATAAAAATAAAATTCTTACGAAAATTGTATAATAATTATATATTGAAAATAAGCATGTTATTTATATATCCAATATTACAAGTTTTATTTTTGCTGTCATTAAAAGCATTAACAGTAACATGTGATCCTTTAATACTGACCCCTTATATAAGGAAACATCAAATAAGCGAGGCAAAAAGTCTTAGCCGTGTCACTGGTCTACCAAATGCGCCGACATTTGAAAGTTATTCCGGTTTTCTGACGGTTGACGACCGGTTCAACAGTAATATGTTTTTCTGGTTCTTCCCATCGTTTGTAAGTTCACACAAATATTAGCGACAAATAAATTAATCAATTATTTTGAAAATATCAGAAAAATCCCAAAACCTCTCCCGTAGTCGTATGGCTGGAAGGAGGACCCGGAATATCGTCGTTATTCTCATTGTTCACATTTGGACCGTTAGTTGTGGACCAGATGCTAAATGTGACGACAACTCCCTCTTCATGGGCTCAGGAGGTGTCCATTCTATACATAGACAATCCGGTGGGAACGGGATATAGTTTTACTGACAATGCAAAGGGCTATTCAACAAATGAAAACATGATTGCTGATAATTTGTATGAAGCTTTACAACAGTTTTATACAGTGTTTGCCGAATACCGAGGGAATGGTGTTTATATTACGGGTCAATCGTATGGAGGACACTACGTACCGGCGCTCGGATATAAAGTAATGCAACATTCAAACGATTCAAACTT